GAATCAGACTGGGCTACCTCAATCGGACGATCCGCCGTCCCCTTCACCTCCAGGTGATCCACCCTTGGGAACCTCATCTACCAGTACTACCTCGGTCTGGTGGGGCGAATGGAACTTTCGGGTTCTCCTCGGTTGGACCAACCTCAGGGTGTTTTCCACCCCGGAGCAACAAGGGTCTTTAGGGACCGAAGGCGGATGGGCCCTCTATCTGCTGGACAAGTTGGGGGTGATCTCCTTTGGTCGATTTTGGCCGGTGGCAGGGTGGACCGCCCTTGCGACCCTCCTGATCATATTGCTCACAGCTTTGGTTTGGTCATTAAAGGCGTGTGAGAAGTGGATTTGCTGCGGCTGCGTATACAGGAGACGAGGACATCGGGAGGGGCTCCAAGCGGTTGATCCCGCTCTACGTCATCTACCGGTGACTCCTGCCCCAGCAGCCTACGCTCCCGTCGTTCTGGTCGGCCCCGGGAGCTCCACCGCAGTCGATACCGAGTACTTTCAGAGACAAGTGCGGGGAAGAGGCACCGGCCGCCGGCCGCACGACTTGGTGCTTCGTTTTCCTCAAGGGGCTGTTCGAATGCAACCGGATTGGACCCATCGCACCCGGATTGATCGGCACGGGTTATGGATAAAGCCGGGTCGCATCCTGGGTGTCACCGCCCGTGCACTTCGGGAGCATCTGGAGCGGGCTGATCAAATCTATTTGTGCCGAACCGAAGCATGTACCCAACCAGGGGAATACCACTACAAGGAGTTCGCTGCCATTGACGCCGACTCGGTGATCGATTTGGGAGCCTACGGGCGTCTGGACAGCTGGCGAGCTTTGGTTCTCCTTTGGCGGGGCCTTCGGTCACTACGGAGAGTTTTGGTCAGCCTTCTTGGTTGCTGTTCTTGCCGAAGATCTACTGAGGCACCGCGCCAGATTCAGGATCGTGGGGTGATCCGCCCCTTGGATCCCGATTCAGAATCCGAAGCCGAGCAGATTTCCGATCCTTGTGAAGCCGTTTTAATTGGGCTCGAATTGTAGGGCAAACCTCGAGCACTTGCGCCCGAGGGGTGTGATGACAGAGCCGCGGCAGAGCCCACTCGCCTGTTGGTTGATGATCTGCAGCTTTCTGATCTTGGGGGACGAGAGTGCGCCCGGCTCTGTAATCATCACAAGTTAGCTCTACATGCTGTCTTGCCAGGGACGCAAGTGCAGTGTGGTCTCATGTTTTAGCAAAGTGCATGGGGCCCATAGGGGAACCCCCCCTTTGCAGTAAACACTTGGCTGAAACCGGGCGCTCTAACAGCCCAGCCCCCACGCATGGTACGGCGAAACGAAAGCCCGAGGAGTCCCTCCTCCATTCTATTCGGAGAAGCCAGTCCGCCGATACGCGTCTCGAGCATGGACCCAATCGAGCTGTTCGGTTCGAGGAACCAAGTTCTCCGGACACCGGACATCAGAGGCTTAGTTCTTCCGAATACGAGAAGCCCTCCCGGGCAGAGAGAGCGGCCCACCCGAAAGCGGGGGCACCAGTCCTGGTAAGACTCCACCCTTTCTTTGGATCAGGGGTCAAAACCCACTGGTTCCTCTTCTTGGGAGAAGTTGAAGGCATTGCCGAAGACAGTCGTCGCACGGAGAGAACAGCTGTGAAAATTCCAGCCCTAGGCCTGCGGGTGAGCTTGCCATGGCATTGCTTGGGTGAACCGCCCGTTACGGACCAATCGGGTCGGTACCCGAAGACCTGGTTACAAGAGTTCCTGTATTCAGACCCCAAAGAGTTGGAGGATAGGGGTGTCTCGATCCAGGTTAGTCAGGTTGCTCCACACTCGTGGGAGTGGCTCAAGGAGTGGGAGGGGAAGGAGGTCAAAGCGAAGGACATTCCATCTGCGAACCTCCAGCTCAGGCAGTTGGTGAAGGAACCCAGATTGGTTCTTCTTCCACACGATGAAGGCTTGGTGCTAACCGGGACAACAGGGGGTGGCGGAGATGAGTTCGGAACACCTCCCAGCTCCCCTTCGGTCTCAGTGATGCCTGATACGCGGTGTACCACCCAAGAGGGTGGACCGCCCCATGAAGTTGACAGTGGGGCTCTCCACGAATCGTTTCGAGATGCTCGGGCCCAGGGTGCCTCCATCGGGGAGGCTATCGCTCTGGTTTCCAGTGCCTACAACATCGGACCTGAAATCGTCCAGATGAGCGTGCTGGGAGCTTTGGAGAGCACTCGAGATGAGGAAAAAGAAACGTCAGGCCCCACTAGTGATCCTTTGGCCTGGAGTGAGGAACGACTACCTTTAACTGGGATTCAGGTGTCACCACCCCCGCTGCCACTGGGCCTCTCTCAGGAAGGAAGCCTGGTTCAAACGAGGGTGAGTCCGCCCGAGAACTATTTGCTCGCACCCGGAGGGGGGCCACCTGACTCTGTTGCCCGTCTTTTCCCTACCGCTGGACAGGATGCTCAGTCCGGGCTTGTTAGCGCAGCCACCGGAGCTCTTGCGCTCCAGCAACCCTCCCTTGGACTCGGTCAGGGTCTTGTGCGTAAAGCTGGAGCCGCCTTTGGGGAGCAGCTTGGTCCCAGCAATCCCACGCTCGCTACCGGCCGGATCATCCACGCTATTGATGGGCTTCGTAAAGCTCAGGATGAGGATAAGACAGGCACTAAAGGACAGGTGAGTTCCATCAAGGAGGGCGAAAAGTTGGACGTTTTCCTGGCAAGGGGATGTGGACAGCTCTCTATCGAATTGTGTAAAGGAGTTTATGGGAAAGAACTTTTTCACAGCATTAAGCGAGCTGGACTCCACGCTAAACATGAGCTTGGCCTGATAAAGTGGCCAGTGCTTATTACGAACAGAGTAGCTCTTTCGATAGCTGGTCTATGGTGGGGCGGAACTGAGAGCTTCACGCTCTTGGCGGCTGATTGCGCGACCGCCAGGGTTGAGCAGATTGAGAACTGGTCGCCACCGACCGAGCACAAGCTGGAAGCCCGCAGTAAGGCCCCTACTACATTCCTCACATGGCTTCGCTACGCTGAGAATTCCATCAAGGTGTTTGGGAGCGCGTATGGCCTTGAGCATGTACAGGAGAGGAACAAATTCTTACAAGCCCTCCGAGAAGCTCATGAAGAAGATGAGAACGCATTCCCCTTCGCTTATTGCGTGCAGCTTTTTGAGGAGATGACCGCTGTCTGGTGCGAAGAGATTCGTGAAAGCCGGCGGCGCCTTTGTGCAAAGTTGGAGACGGAGAATCCCCGCCTGGAGGACTTCAAGCTCATTGCGCTCTCTCCCAGCACCACAGGTCAGGCCAACTTCCAATTTCCCCGGGCGTGGGATCTGGCTGACCCGGCCGGCTACTATCAGAGGGTTGTCTTGCCCCCGCCAGAATAAAGCGATGGCACGGTTGCTCAAGAAGCAACTGCACTACCATGTCACCAAAGAGAAGAGGCCAGACCATCGTAAAACTGCAGGACCTACTGAGGCTACAAACCCCTCGCCATCAGACTGTCCGTCTCGGGATGTGGAGGACACAGACAAGGCCGGCCGGGCACCACGGTTGGCTTTGAGAGCCGATCCTAACAAGGCCGGGGACCCATCCAAAGCTTACCCCGCGGGAAAACGATTAAGCCCTGCTGAGGTAAAGAGATCAATACAGCATGCCCCTCAGTGCCCGAAGACCAAAAAGCCCATATGCTGGGATGTTGCGTGTCACATCGGCTGCCACCGCAGCGCTTGCCCCAACGCTCACGAGCCCCTGCCGAAGCTTTCTAAGCTTGACTACACGGTAGCTATGCAGGTGCTCCGTCGCGGGGGGTTGCGCAACGGGCCGAAGGTGAACCCTCAAGAGGTCGATGGAAGAGTCGCCCAGCTCCGGGCCCAAGCCAAAGAGGAGCAAGCCTCTAAGGTTGAGCCTGGCGTTACCGCCCAAGGTAAAGCTAAAGCGCATCCTAAGGTCAAGGCAAAGGATAAAGCAGGGTGGACGGTTCCGGAGGACTATCAGGGGCCCGTAACCCAGCTTGAGCATGAGCTTGGCAATCTTGCTGAAGGACCGGACTACACTTGGCACCAGCAAGTTCGCCAGGATACAGAGGTCACCTCAGTCCAGGCCGGTGCAGATGAAGCTCAGAAACGGAAAGCTGTGTATGAAAAGTTACTCGCCAGCAAAAAGCTTGAGCCTCTATCCGGTTGCAGTGATTACCTCCACTCTCATGTGGCCTCTCATTTCGTCAACGCAGAGATGCAAGGCAGATCCATCCAGCTCTCGGAGGTACTCAACCAGGCGATTGACTATGGCCACCCTCAACTCGCCGAAGAGGCCCAGGAAGTGCTGGGCTCCATTGGAGCCAAAGCTGGCTTGACTCTCCCCGAACCCCAAGCTTGCTTTAGTACGTTTATATGGGAGGAAGGGGTTGGCAAGGGGCAGATGACTTTCAATCATCCTCTTTGGGAAGGCGTTCCGCCCCTTAGCATCCTTGACGCACAAGATAGGCTGGCTCTCCCGGAAGATCTAGGAGTGGCGCTTCAGCTCAATGGCGAGAAAGCAGAGGAGACACGGCAGTGCCTTTGTTTGCATGTTGCTCTGGCCTTCGAGCCGGACTTGTCTGCGGCGTGGGATAAAGCCCGTGATCTAAGACGGGAGCTGTGGGAAGATAGCAGTGCCGCCTTCCAACATCTCGGCGATGCTAGCCCGTACATTAGCACAGCAGAGGCCTTTGTACGGCACAATGCACACGATTGCATTTATCCTCACCACGAGAAAGATTTCAGGGTGCTGCAGTTGTTCGCACGCCCTTTCATGCAAGGTCGGCTGCTGGTTGTTCTTCGGCTGTCGCATCAAGGGGTTGTTGAAGTCGATACGATTAAAGGGACCGGAGCGTTGGAGGTCCACGCGGCTGTTGTCATTCACCGGGGTCATATGCGCACCGCACGATGCTCCTCTGATCAGATCAAGCAGTTGCTCGAGATTGCCATGCAGGGAGAGCGTGTGGTTCGGGAACTTGAAGTCGAGGGATGGGGAAGCTTCCTGGAAGCCCAGGAAAGCATCGGAGAGATTATACCGTCCAAACCACATCCATGCTACGGACGCCCTCAGACCCCCTGTAAGGCAGGAATTGAGGAAGACGACGCTGGTGATCCGGCTCGCCCGTCCATCGAGATTGGTTTGTGTGGCGTGTCCGCCCAACCGCCTCCTCAACGCTTTTCCTTATTTGCGCCGCTTTCTGAGGTGGACTCAGAAGACGTGCAGTTAAACAGGGGCTGTGGGTTCAGTGTCTGTCAGGCCATTACCGGATGTACGCAGTGGCAAGCAAGCATGGCTCACTTGGGGCGGTATCTCAAGCCGGTCCGACATTGGCAACAGACTGTTGGATCCTCTGATTGAAGAATGTTGCTCTTGAGGGAGCAGGCGGATCTGCTCTTCTCGATTGCCTGGGAGCCGCCCTAAGCGGTTTCTCTGGCACCTTACTGCTTGTTATTCCAGCCCTGACGGCTTTGTTGGCGCGCCGGTTGCGGGGTCTCCATTTAAGGCTTATTCCCCGAGTGGGCCCCAGCACCAATCCGACATGGTGGTGCGGCTCGGAGCGCCTTTGCACAGGGCTGGCACCGTTTGCAGCTTGGGCCGTAACCGGCCCTGAAGGGACGGCTCTGTCAGGTTGGTGCAAGTGGGTGTTGTCAGGTGAGTCCGCCCTGCCCGAAGCAGGGCCCTCACTACCAGATGCCCCTCGCCAATCGTCCGTCATACAGCCTGCGGCTCCCCACCCTCCCTCCCTGGGGGGGGGGCGGGTCGTTGCCAAAAAGGGCGAAAACTGAAGGGGAGAGGGTTGGGAAGGCCTTGTACGAGAAAGCCTCTGAGTATCTCGACCTGTGCCGATCTGACTTCTCAGTGGAAAAGGCTCAGCAGGCTGGCCGTTTAGGAGCGGAATTGATCTCCTCGGCCGGTATTGTTGAGAACGCGGTCCATGTTTTGAACACTTCCCGCGTGCAGAAACTTGGGGACCATCTATCTGGTGCCAGACGAAGTGCCTTTAAAGGGATTTCCGCTTTGCACCAGGAGTACCTCCAGACGTGTGCCTATGAAGGGGTGCCGAGTAGAAGAGAACAGCCCCTTATCAGGGAAGAGGCAAAGAACCACGGTTCAGTGTATGGATACGAGGAGGAGCTCCTCCAGAAGGCCTTGAAAGATGCAGCGTATGGAGCAGCACTCTTTGTCGACCCTGAAGTGGGGAAGGTCAGCCAACTTCTCGATCAGGCCGGAGTTGCCGAAAGCCCGCTTGGGAGAGCTCCGAAGCAAAATCCCGACAGGACAATTTCGGCTGAGGGCCGACCTATCAATAATATGAGACGACAGAATGACGCGGGATCCAAGTTCAATCATCCCCCGGCGCCACAGCCAAGACACCATGCGGTCGCCAGGCAGTCACTTTGGTGGCGAGCGGCACATCCGGGGGCAGAAATGTGCTAAGAGGGATGTCCCTCGAGCGTTCAAGTGGCACTTCTTGCGAGCGAAGGATGTGCCCGAGTTTGCTGTAAAGCTTGCCGGGCTCATCATCCTTAGCCTGGCCATGCCATTTGGGTGGGTGGGCTCGCCTGGGGAGTTTGTCGCCTGGAGTTCTGCAGCGAGAGCACACCATGGGTCGTTCCGACCAGCGGACCCCAAGTTCAACGACGTGGTCCCATTCGAGTCGAAATGGCTGATGGACGATGGTGTGGTTGTCGAACCGATGGTAGGCAATCGGGTCTTCGACTTTGTTGCCGTGCTCGATGAAACGATGCAGCTCGCGTGGGGCCCGGAAGGGGTGAACGTGGAGAAAATGGCTGAGGAAGGTGAACCCTCCACGACTCAGCTGCTCTGGGGTCTCCACATGAATCTTGACACGCAAGAGGTTCGGCTCCCCGAGCCGAAACGCATTAAGGCTAAATACCTCCTGGGTGAAACAGCCCTACAAAGGGGCTGCCGGGAGGTCTCCCGTTGCGCCTTCTCCAAGAACTGATCGGTTGTGCTCAGTATTGGACGGTAGCATGCCCCGCACTTACCCACTTTGTATCACTTGTTGAAGGGGAATCTGCAGGGAAAAGGGAGCTCAGGGTCCAAGAGCACCACCAACACTCTGGTTCAAGTTGAAGCTGCCAACGCCGATGAGGAGGAGCGACGATGGGAGGATTTCTGGGACGCCCTCGACTTCATCAGATTGCAGCTCGAGGCACCACTGCAATGCAGTTTTGTTTCTGTCTTTGAGAAGCTTCTTCCGATCCGAGAGCGGCTCGCTCTTCCCGGCGTGACCGCCCGCGCACGGATCACAGGAGGTGATGCAACCCTCGAACGGATTGGGGCCGTTGACTGGAAGGCTAAGGTTTTCCACGCCGAGTATGTTGATCGTTACCGTGAAGGTTTGAGGAACTTGGCTGAAGAAGGAGGGGAAACCGACATCATATCGGTTATGGAATTCCTCGCTTTCGTGGTACTAGCCTGCCACCGCAGGAACGAATGGTTTGGTGAACTAGTCTTGTATGTCACGGACAACATGAATGTTCGGACTTGGCTGCATAAGCGCCGGCCTCGCAATCGAGCTGCTAGCCTGTTGGTGAGGCTTGTTCAGCGTTTGGAATCAGAGAACCACTTCACTGTGCATCCCATTTACATCCGAACGTATCGGAATCAGCTCGCCGATTGGCTTAGCCGGGAGGACCTGCCTGTGGTTCGAGAACAACTTGCGGCCGAAGGTTGGACAGAGGTGGCAACGGGGCTCCAGTGGGAAGATTTCTTGAGGGATGCTGAGCGTTCCGCTCTTGTCTATCCAACGGGGGACGATCCGCGGGGGCAGGTAGCGCGACAGCTTACGCACCCGGCTGAACCAGCCCCGAAGCCGTTGAAACATGTGTGTCTACGCGTTCCCTGGCAACCCCTCCACGTGGAAGACCACCCAGAAATCACCAGCTGCGGGAACCAACCGTATGCCTGGTACACGTTCTCGCAAGATCCCTCAGGGAGAGAGCGAAGGCGTCTCGAGCGCGTGCTTGCGGAGAATAGCGCTCGGCTCAAGAAATTGGTAGTTGATTGCCCCCGGCAGATCAACACCTTTCAGCTGGAGCAGACCCTTAAAGCCTATTTTCCACATGTGGAGACCTGTCAGTACGTTAGTTCTCACCTTGGTGCCATTACCGCCCGTAGGAGGACTCTAAGCTTCTGCTGGAGGGATGTCTCTCCTCCTCCTGTTCACTTGGGGCAGTACCGGGCTAACCCTCCCCCGTCAATGCAGATGATTCCCCTTGACAGCGGGTCTGGCTCGGAGGTTCATCGCATCCCGGGAGTGCTCACCCAAGAGCCGGGGATTGTTACGACCGGTGATCCCTGATTACCTCATCCATTTGGGCACGTCAAGGGTCCTGGTATTCCACCCAAGTGCCTTGTCCATAAGGTATCTGGGCCCGCCTGTGCCTTTGTCGGCCCCACAAAGGATATCAAAGGGCCAGGGGTTACTCTCATTCCTAGCGGAGCCGGAGCCGTGAGGCGGCTCAGTTTGGGCGAAATCGCCAGGGCGCAAGGTCTCACAGCAAATCAGTGGAAGGAATTAACGAGTGCCCTTGCGCAGGACGAGGCCACCAGACGTATTCTGCAGGAGCCAGGGTGGCAAGTTCCTGCTGCAGTCTTCGGTCTGTGGCAGGACGAGCCGCTCAAGGCCGGGAACTGCCTTGATCCCGATGAAGAGACGGCTCGCCAGCAGCTCGAGGTTTGGCTCAAGGCCTGGAAATCCAACCCGGAACGGCCACGGGATATGCTCGACTTACTCTCTGCTTGCGTGCAACAAGGACCCACCCTCGAACCCACTCTCTGGCCCGATTCCGGAGATACTCGGGTGGGAGGGCGCTCCGCCAGCATCAGGGACGCGGAGGACAGAAAGCTTGTCACCCCAGTGCTCCTGGGAGAGGAACGAGATAGGTTCTTCGTCAGTGTGGGTTTGCCCGATGAAAACTTGCTGCACCAGCTGGACCAGACGGGGCAGGAAGCTGTACTTAGTAAGCTAGCCGATTCTACCCGGAGGTCCTACGGAGCAGGCTGGAAACAGTGGGCAACCTTCATGTCAGGGACCGGCACCTCCCCCTTTCTGCACGGGGAGACAAGAGCTGAAAAGCAGGCCGACGAGGAATGGCTTATTCGGATTGTCGTCTTCCTTCATCAGCGTATGGGGCGCACCGCCCAAGGGATCAAACAGCGTCTGTCGGGGATCCGCTATGCTCATATTGCTGCTGGGTACCCCGACCCTTTAGCAGGACGAGTGCGTCTTTGGGCCGCCCTGGCGGGTATGCACCGTTGGGATGGCGCGCCGGTGCGCAAGGTGCCTGTGACTCCCCGCATGCTTGTATGGTTGCGAACGTACCTGCAAGGGTCGAACCGCCCAGCCGAAGAAAAAGCCGCGATGTGGGCATCCATTTGTTTAGGCTGGTTCTATATGCTCCGTGCTTCAGAATATCTTCCTGGCACGGATGCTCTTAACGCCCCTGCCCGCGTGCTGCGCGGCAGCGACATTGACTTCTTCAGAGAAGGAAAGAAGTGCCGCGTCTCCGTCGCCGATTCTCTTGTGGTTCAGCTTAGAGATTCCAAAGGGGATCAGTTCGGGCGGGGGCAAGTCAGGTTATAACATGCTACTGGGGATGATATATGCCCTGTTAGGGCGCTACAGGAACACGCTAAGCTTAACCCTCACTGGCTCCAAGACAGCGGCTTACCGGTGTGCGCCTGGCAGGGAGTGGGGGTGTCCCGGGAAGGGGTTTCTAAGGCGCTCCGTGTTGTCGCCGTTGCTCTTGGGTATCCCGCCCACCTTGTCGCTTCGCACAGCCTAAGAAAAGGAGGCGCCACCGCCATGCTTGCTATTACCAGCGACGTCGAAACAGTCAAGCGTTTTGGGGGTTGGAAGTCAGACGCTGTTCATGCCTACCTTTACACTGACATGGCCTCCGCCCCTGGGCGAGCTAGAGATATGCTTACCTCTAGACCTGTTCTGCAACCTCAGCAGCATACCCAAGCCCCCAGTAGGGTAGGAAGTCATGTGGAAGACCCTGAACAGGCCCTTGACACTCGTTGCGGAGGTCCCGAAGACCTTCGTCCCGAAGACGAAGAATTCGACGGCAGTGACGACCCGTATTGGCGCTCCGCCCGGACAAATCTCCAGGATATTGAGCATCAGACTGGACTCACGTTTGTTCAAAGGGTTCGGTTAAAACGTCAGATTGCTCAGGGAGGGGTTGTTGAGCCACCTGTGTTTCTGCAACGGTTCGGCGGTGTTCCTGAGTGGTTTGCACCCATGTCGGCTGCCAGTAGTTCACAGGATGCCGAGAGAGTGCCCGTGTACATGTCAGCTGACCCTGCTCTTCATGTGGCTTCAATTAAACCGTCTTCTCTCCCGCAGCAATTTTTGCCCGCACAAGTGATCCACTCTCCTTCCCGGCGCTCCGCCCTGTCCCACACGGCCATGGCTGACAACGCACCGCGCCCAGCCGGCATGGGGCACGCCCAGCTGAGAGACTGGATTAATCAGTGGGGCAGCGCATGGGCCTTTCTTGGCCTCGAACCCGGGTCATCAATAACTGAGGTCATGAAGGCTTACAAAAAGAAAGCTTTGGTGTAAAAAAGAAAAAAAAGGCGCCGGAATCGGAGAAGGAGAACGCCACACTACGTATGTCAGCGTTTGGGAACGCGAAGGAGATCCTTCTGAACCCTGGGTTGCGTATTCTCCACGACAATCTCCTTGGAATTGGTGGGGCCGCCCCGTCTCACTCACATAGCGCACCGCCACCTTCTTCCTCGAAGGCACCCCCGCAACCGGAGCCAGAACCTTCGAGCCAGCCCGGCCCCTCTTCGTCTTCTTCCTAGGGCCCCTGGAGGCAGAAGGGAAGGAATGTCTGGGAGGACCCCCACGGCAACGTTTGGGAAGAGGTGTCCGACATGTCCGACGTGTCCGAGGGCGACTTCGAGAGCGATGGTAGCTGGGACCTGGACTCTGACTCCTCCGGTCCCCAAATCGACCGGTACCCAGGGTCAGGAAGGGCCGAATTCTGAGGTTCTGCCGCCAATGTGGCCATCACCAGTACTGGGGAGAAGGCTAGTGCTTCGGGTGCGGATGGGTGCGCACTCACCGCCGCTGGAGGTGGGAGCGTTTCCCTGGCTTTGGAAAAGGCACCAAAGGGAAGGGCAAAGGAGCAGGTGGTACCCACCGTGGGAGAGCCGGGTCCAGGCCTGCTGGACCTAGGCGTGACCGCCCTGGAGCCGATTCTTCAGGAGCAGGTGCATCCGCCGATCCCCCGCCCGCGGACTCGAAGAAGGCGCCACCGCCCCCTCCTCCCAGTGGCGATGGCGGACCAAAGACCAAAGCCCCTCCTCCCAGAGAGGGTTTCTTTAATACTTGGTGGTGTTTCAACTGCAAAGTCAAGGTCTCCACCCATGCGTTGAAGTGTCCCACTTGCAACCAACAGCGTGGAGGTTTCCGGAGTTGGAGATCAGCGGGGACGCACCGTCCGGCCTACAAGGCTCCGCCAACGGCAAAGGCAAGGCCATCGTCTCCACCGACTTCTACAGCTTCGGGATCTGCACAAGCACCGCCACCGAGGCCATCCAAAGCACCGCCAGCTGGGGCGTACCGCCCTTCTACAGGGCCTCCTCCCACCAAGGCCGCACCCAAAGCTCCACCGCCTGCTGTTTTCAGCAACACGATGCATTGGGTATGTGGGCGGTGTGGCGAGGTGAATGGACTACATCGGTATGGCTGCAACATATGTCGCGCCTCCCAACATGCTGAAGGCAACGTCCATGCGCAGGCCACTCATTGGATATGCCCTCACTGCAAGGACGAGGTGTCTGTCAAGCGCAGTGTCTGCGAGTGTGGGAAGTGGAGGCCGAAGAGCGCTCCGCTCATAAACCACGGCCAAGCCGCAGAAGACCGCTTTGTTGCAAAGGGTGCAACCGCCGCGCCGGTGATCCTCAATCGTCGGGAGGCTGTGAATCAAGGTTCTGGAATGGGCCTGGAAGCTCCTCATACCGAAGGGTCACACCCAAACCCCGATGTGGGACCCATCGACATCGTGGACGACCAAGAGGCAGTGGCCGAGGTTGGGGAGGAGGAGATGGGAGTTACACCCAGTGCAGCAGATGAGGGGATGGACCCCGCCCAGACTGGGCTGGCAGCAATGGAAGTGGACGAGCCCGAGCCCGTGCCGACCTACATCCCTCCTACTGCTAAGTCTTCTGGAATCCCTGCCAAGGCCTACCCGGGACAGATAGTTTGGCGCCCACCGCAGCCCGAATCGCCGGTGATGAGCACTACGTCGAGGCCGATTTCTTAATCATCGGGAGACTTCGTGGCTGAACCAGCCCCTGAACCAGAGCAAGAGGGACTCCAAGGGTCGGGCGCCACCGCCAGCAGCCCCATGAGCCCGGACCCAATCCCAAAGAAAGCCAGGGGTCCTATGGGCGAAACTGGACCACTGGCAATCGTGGTACCCAACGGGGAGGCTCTCTGGTTCACCACCCGCGATATCGATGCGGACACCCCAAGGCTGGTTATCCCTTGGTCCCTGTTCCAGTACTTAGCTATGTCGAGGAGATCCCTCAGTGGCTTCCAATCCTGGGGTAGAGTTGGGGTTGTCTACATCCGGCGGGTGGTTCAAGATATTATTCATGGAGCGCAACAACGTGGGTTTATGGACCGCATCCAGGAGGCGAGCCGCACCAATCCATTGCTCATGGACCTCCAGTCGGCGCACCCGGAACCCCAAGACGCAGTTACGCCCATGAGTGCCACCACGGAGACGTACCGTCCGAACTTCAATTTCCGGGATTTCCTCCAGAGGCCAAGTTTTGGAGAGCACTTTCACCCAGGCGAAGGACCGCCCCGATTGGGCCGTGGCTCCATCCCCTGCATCTACGATCAGCCTACGCATGAGATGCCTCTAGCCGCGTCGGTGGGGGAAGCAGACCATGCTTCTAATTGCATGGGCATGTGGGCACGGAGGCTTTTGGGCCAGGAAAACCCAAGCCCCCCTTCAAAGGGTGCACCACCCAAAGCTACGTCCGGGACTACCTCTACAGCTCCCACGACGGAACCTACAGCTCCAACGGCTGAACCAGCCCCTGAAGAAGCCGAGGAGGAGGAGGACTCCGACGTGGAACTGACAGCGGAGGAGAGAGCGGAGGTGGCCAGAATCGAGGAGGAATGTTCCGAGCTGGAGCGCCGGATGAGGAATCTGTCGGTCACACAGCAGCGCTCCCTCCTCGAGAACCTCGCCAATGCTTCAAGTGCCGTGATAGGCGGCCTCTTAGCAGACACGGTGAGGCGTACCGCCCAGATGAGGGGAAAAGGAGCAAAAGGCAGCGGAAGGCCAAAGGTGAAGGCCAACCAAGCCTCGGCCAATAAGGACCCCAAGTATTTGGAGGATCTTAACAAGGGGCTGAGCCACACCGAAGCCTTTATTCGGCACCGATCCCGTCTACGTCCGATTCAGCACCAGATGGAATACGGGGACGTGTCGCTCCAGCCCCGGGCAACCCAGCTGCAGACTGACAGGCCGCTACCGCCAATGCTGAGCCTTGGAAGGTCGCACTGACTGGGCCTTTTGGATCGACTATATCGGCTAGAGCAGCGAGGCGTTACTTGGACCCAAGAAGATGTCGATAGGTGCCTCACCATGGAGCGTTTTCTCGACTTCTTGGAGAACAGAGAGGCGCACCAACCGGACGCACCGTCCGAGACTCCTGGGACAGCCTCGAAGTCTGCTGATGCTCCACCGCCCCGGGACCCTACTACGATGGGACCCGAAGAGAAGCAGAGCATTTCTACCAGACCGGATCCAGGCTCATCTGACCCGAGGACGACTACTACTGACCCAGATGAGACCTTGGGGAACCCAAACTCGACAACTCAGGCGTCGGGCGAACCGCCCTCAGAAACATCATCGGAGATGCCCTCTTCGACTGGGCCAAGCTCTACCTCGCCATCAACTACAACCGCTGCTGGGCGGCCAGTTGACCATGCCGAACAAAACGATCACCCAGAAGATCATACCTCGGCATCTACGGCGACGAATGAGCCGGCTGAAGGAAGAGGAGGAGAGGCACCTAGTGCCGATGCCTCCCTGCCTCCAACGAATGCATCCAGGCATTCCGAAGTAGGCAGGTACTTTCATTTTCTTTAAAGACGGGACCGCCAGGTGACGAAGTCACCGGCGAACCGCCCGGAATCGCTGTGGTCCACAGCTAAAAAGAGAGCTCAGTACAGAGAGCCCTCTGGAGCACTTTTCGGGTGTTCCACCCTTATTTGTTAAGTTAGTTGTGAGTGCTAGCCTCGGCACATCA